GGGTTAGAGAATCCTGGAACTGCATAGATGACATGTTTGTAGATCTTGTTCGAAGGTCGTGGAGGTTTGAATTGCTGGCCATGTTATTAGTAGCCATACGGCGGTATATACCAGGAAACAAGATCACGGTAGACTCAAGAAGGTCTCAGACCGTCCAAGTATTGACAGCGACTCACCGGCTCATTATTACTCTCAGATCTCCCCTTCTCTTCACTCAACTTAATCTGACTCCTCAGATACGCGATATCAATCCCCTCCTCGTCCTCAGGCACGGCCCTCAGCTTTTTGTGGAACCCAGCATCCTCGAATATACGGAAAGCAAGCATATACGCCGGAGCAACGATCCACACATTCCGCGTATACACCGGATCTGTAAAGTCCTGAAGCAGGCAAGCTAGATTCTGGGATGCCCCACCAGAGATGCATATGCGGTCTTCGGATACCGGGTCCGCGGGCTTATAGAACGTCGTGAGCCATTGCGCGATGTTGTTCTTCAGCCGCGGGTCACCCGAATCGGGTCCATAGCACATGGCCGGGTACGCAATGGGCTTCTTCTGGAGGACATTGTGGGCTGCTTTGTCGAGCAGTTGCGTTGGAAGTAAAGACACGTTTGGCCATCTGGTGCTGTTAGCGATTACTCTATTGGCCGCGTCATGTCCCAAAAGGGTAGCGGGTTTGCATGAAAGGCAGGGGCACGTGCCCTCTCAGCAAATTGATCAGCTTCTTGGAGCTAGTCTTGGAGCCGACGACGTCCGGTAGGGCGAACGTCTTGAGTATCTGGTCCGCGATAGTTTGGCCGCCGCCCATATTGGATTCTGTATTGGATGCTGATGAAGCCGTGGCGGCGTCGGAACACGGCTGCGTACCGAAGTGGCTGGTGCGCAGTTATGGGGCGAAGTGGACTCAGGCCAGCAGTAATAACGTGAGCGTGCCGCGATTATATCAGATGCGAAGTTCGGAAATGGGTCTGTTGGCAGCAATTGAAGGAAGCGTGCATGCGTTTTGTCAATGCCATGCTCATACCAACGTAGGGCGCACATCCAGCACGTGTGTATGACAGCCATGAGCCTCGGGTGGACGCTATCGATTAGGGATGGTACGTCATCCGCTCGCTAAAGACCTCATCGATGCGGCCGGCGCTGTCGATAGTTCTACCGATGCTGCAAATGGTCACGAAAACACGACATGTCAGCTGCAGCTGAATAAATTCACTCGTGGTAGTATCGCACAGTATTCATCGACCGTTACACATTTGGAAGCCGGGCAACTCGAAACAGTCGTCTCTGGCACGACACGGCTGCGCATGGGTCCGCTCCCAGCTTCCGTGGATGAGGTGGGCCTTGCCCGCAGCATGCCCGCAGCATGAGGCGCAGGTGCTGCAGGTCACAGCCAGCGCTGGCAAAGGGTCTTTTGGACGTCAAAGAGGCCGCTGAGTGGCCGGCCGGCCATACCAAGGTGTAAATGCACCCCAAGGCGTCAGAGCAAAGCCAATGACAGATGTAGAGAACGACCCACGTTGTGGCCACCCGACCTTTGACGTTACTCGTGCACTAGCATGGTTACGACACTGCGGATCTGCGACAGCTCAAATATAGATCACCTAAACACCTAGTCCCTTCACTAAGCTTTTCAGTCCCTTTCGACATATACTAACTGACCGGTGCCCGGGGCCCTGCATGTGTGGTGCTCGTGTTTGCTGTTGTGTCAAACCCATGTTGCGGCGCGCATAGTATATTTTCCTACGCTTCACGATACCCCAACTCTTGCTCCTCCCGCGCCGCATAGACAACTACTAGATCGCCTCGCCATGCTGGGAGACAAGAAGAAGTCAGCTCGTCGGCTGTCGAGTTTGTTCGGATCGTCTGGGTCGTCCGAGCCGTCAGGGTCTACGAATAATGCGAAGTTGAGCCCAACCCCTGCGTCATCAGAGTCCAGCAGCCGCTTGACCAAAGTGCGCAACCGCCTCTCTTCAGCGACACACCTCACGCCCGAATATCCTCCGCCCGCCGCTCAGTCACCACGCGCGGTGTCCCTCTCCAACCCCACTATCCAGCCGGTCGTGCCTGCCGATCTTGAGCCCCTCGAGCCACCTCCGCCGCTGGAGGTGCCGTCGCGCGCATCGTCACCAGCGAGTAGCCGACCCGGAACGCCGAGCTTAGACCCATCCGAAGGGAAACTGAAGAAGCTGCGCAGGAAGAGCGGTCTATTTGGCGGCCCACCCGGCGGCATTGAGGGAGTAGACGCTGCGTCTGGCGCACCACAAGGCAATGCGAGTCCGCTGGCATGGATCGTCGGACACAAGGGCAAGGTGCCATACAACCTGACGTTCCTGCTGAACGGCGAAAAGGTAGTCTGCGGCTGCTCAGAATATCATACCAACGCTGACAAGATGAAAGGTCCCTGAACTCTGGGACGACGCTGGAGACACGTTTGTCTACCTCTTCCCCCGCACCTCCGACAAGGGCCCTTCCTTCCGCATCGACTCCTCCGTATACGCAGCATCGCACCTGCTCACCCGCCTCGTCCACGGCAGCCTCTACAGCGACGCGAACGTGCCTCCGCTCGACCTGGCCGACCGCACATCGCGACGCGTGTCACGAGAGCCATTTGGCGAACAGTCGCGCACTGCATCGCCCGACCAGAGCCAGATAGGAAGCTCGGATGAATCCATATCCAAGGGGTCCAGAGCGCTAAGCGACGCACTGGAGGACGAGTACACAGAGAAGCATCTATACATGCCCATCTCGCTGAGCTCCGACTCTGCCATCACCCCTCACGAGCCCCGGCTCGACGCAAATGATACCGACACATTGGTTACCTACCGCAACTTCTTCGCCTTCCTCATCGGACAGTCGCTGGTCGCTACGGAGCGTCACTCAGACATCTTCGACATCTTCCTGCGGATCGGAGACATATTGTCGCACTATGCCTTCTCCAACGTCGACGGATCCACCTTTGGCGAGGTCGCTGCGTCGAGCTTTGACTGCTACGTTGACGAGTTGACCCTCGCAGACGTCCGCCACAGTCGCGAAAAGACCATAGAAGCCATTGTGCTAGGAGAGAAGCTGCGCTCGATGGCACTATACACGGAGGGTTTCGTCCACGCCGCCGGAAAGTACGACAGCATCAAAGAACTCGACTCGCCTAAGTTTGGCATCATCAGCCCCAAGAGTTCTACGCGACTTGCCCGAGCTGCTATGGATCTAGAAAACCGCGAGCAAACCATCAATCACAAGCTCAAGGACTTTGAGTTTCCGCATATCTTCTCTGGCATCATGAACAGCGCAATGGCAAGCGAGGGCAAGGTCATCAGCTTCAAGAAGTGGAGGGCTGCCTTTATGACTATCAAGTCTTTCGTCATGGACTACTACAGGCACAAATACGGCTCATGGCTACCAAAAGCCAAGTCAAAGAAGAACAACTTGACTACAAGTGGTCTTAACCGACTGGTCTTACTAGAGATCTATCGCGACATGGCTAGTCTATATGATCTCCTCGTGGATAGGAAGAACTTGACAAACCGTACTGCGGACGGCTTTATCGCAGAAGACGAAGGAACAGACATCGAATCCGTTGTTGCGCGTGCGCTGAGGAAGGTTCTGAGCGAATACGACCGCAGCACACCACCAGTCGCGCCACCGATTCCTTTCGATCTACCACTCTATCCCATCTCACAGAATGCGAAGACGGGCGACGCGAAAAAGGACGCAAAAGCGCGCGGAAAGAAGCTGCACAAAGACGAAGTCGCCAAGCTACTGAAGCAGTCGCACAATGCCGATGCCGAGCAACAAACACCCTTCCTAGAAGCCTTCCGCCAATTCGAATTCAAGCAAGCCACCGGATCCAACATGGACGACATGTGGGATATGCGATCAGGACAGTGGCTCTTCCTATACGCCGTAATCCAATCCCTACCCATGTTAGTCGTCGACGCACCCGGCGTGCGCTTCACCGAAGGCGTAGAATACTTCCTCTGCGAGGTCCCACGCAGCGGCGTCCCCTGGGCCCGGGAAGACACAACCCGCTCGCGAACCTGGTTCGGTATCGCAGGCGGCGCGCAAGTCGTGTCCTTACCCACCGACGTAGTCGAGCACGGCGTCGAAGGCACGTTCCGCCGCTCGCACTGCTGGAAGAAGGCTCAGCAGTGGGCTGCAGACGATACTTTACTCAACGCCGCGATGCAGGAACTCAATGCGAACGCGACTCCGTTACCGCCGCCGCCTGGTCTTCTTGATCCTGGTGCGGCTGCTCGAGCGCGGAGTCAAAGCCCGGATCGAAGGCGGGAAAGCGTTATGAATCTGGGGTTGGAAGCTTTGCCGCTGCCGCCTGGTGTTGCGCCGCCGATGCCAATGGGCAGCCCGAGTTTGAGGCCCGCGAGCAATCACGATCCTAACAAGACTTTCGATGATATATTAGGAACGTCGGCGTCGGACAACGGGAAGAAGAATAAGAAGAAGAAATGAGGTATCGACAATGAGGGATGGGAAATGGGGTGGATGGGGCTGGATTTGATGCATAAAAGCGCTTGTTTTCAGCATTGGCCGGTTTCTTGTTATGATTTACAGCGTTCTTGCATGGACGCGCGCGGCTGTTAAATAATGTAGAATGCGCGAAATGTAGAGGCTGGATGTAGAGCCTGATGTCTAGTACCTAGAGATATCCATGGATGAAATGAACCTATCGCGCTTATCGCTAGTTCCCGCTTCGCATCATCGCCGATATCGTCGCATGGGTGGGTGGGGGAGGCGGAGGGGAGGCGGAGGGGAGGTGGTGGAGGTCAACTCTGTGAAGTTCGTGGAAGTTATGTAGGCGTTGTTCAAAGGCTGATATGTAGACATGGTAATGAGAATTGTACTTATCGCAGCTATCACGCTTGTTGCTAGTTCCCGCTTCCGATATCGTCGCGCCCTACACATTTACCCACACGAACACTTATCCTCGCAAAGTCGCGGGCTTTGAAGCTTCACTGCTTTCACCCGCGCTCTTTTATATTCGTCAACATGACGTCCTCGCTACCCGGCAATCGTGACCTGCCAGTCTCGCAGTTCAACCTAGGGACGTACTGGGGTCGCGTGCAGCACTCAGCAAACATATCAGATCCGAGGTGAGACACTGCGCGCGGAAGGATGATGTTTCTTTGGGGATACTGGGTGTGGTGAGTACCACGACCTTGAGCTTTTCCATTGCTTATTCATGTCTCTATACTCACTCTATGATCATTGTTAACCAACGCGCAACAGAACCCTCCTCACCTCGTCGGCCGGCCTCGAAAATGCAAAGAAACTCGTTACCGCATACAAGACGGGCAAGATACCAGAGATGACGCCCGAGCTGTGGAATGCGAAGAAGATAATCGACTCTACCATACACCCAGGTACTACAACCGGCGCGGTCGCATGATGAGGGGAGACGCTGACAGAGTGAAGACACGGGCCAGCCAGTCTTTCTGCCTTTCCGCATGTCGTCTTTTGTCCTGACAAACTTGGTTGTCACGGCTGGTATGCTTACGCCGGGTCTTGGGGTACGGAAAGCGTCTACATTGGGATAATGCGACAATATACTAAGAGTGTACAGACAGCGGGCACACTAGGATGGCAAGTCACGAACCAGTCGGTCAACGTCGGAATCAACTTCTCCAACGCGAACAAGTCGATCCCGCTCTCCACCTCGACAATCGTCCAATCGTACCTCCTCGCCGTCAGCGCATCATGCGGTGTCGCTCTCGGTCTCAATGCGCTGGTACCCCGCCTCAAGAGCCTGTCGCCTAATGCTAAAGTCATCGCCGGTCGATTGGTGCCCTTCGCAGCTGTTGCAACAGCTGGTGCGCTCAACGTGTTCCTCATGCGCGGTGAGGAGATCAGGCAAGGCATCGACGTGTACCCCGCGCTATCGGAAGCTGAACGAAAAAGGGTCGACACGGGAGAGATGGAGGTCAAGCCACTGGGCAAGAGCAAGAAGGCAGCTACACTTGCTGTGGGAGAGACGGCGCTGAGTCGCGTGCTCAATGCGACACCTATCATGGTGCTGCCGCCTCTCCTGCTTGTGAAGCTGCAGAAGACAGAGTGGCTTAAGCAGAGGCCTAGGATGGTGACGCCGGTGAATCTGGGTGAGTCAATACGAAAGGTGTTTGTGGGATGATGGCTAACGCGCAATCAGGACTCATTTTCACGACATCCATCTTCGCGCTGCCACTTGCGCTCGCTGCGTTCCCACAACGCCAGGCTGTCAGTGCGCAGTCGCTCGAACCCGAGTTTCATCAGCGCGGTGGCAAGGATGGCATGGTGGAGTTTAACCGTGGGATATGATGGACCGGTAGTATGGGAAGAGAACACGGTGGCTGTATATCTGAACAGCAGGGACAGAACTATTGTGTGAAATGCTTCAGGCGTATATGCCACGCTGCAGGCATCAGACGCAGTCGAACATTGCTGCAAGCAGGCGGAGGACATGGTCGCGCTGCTGCATTGCGGCGAAGACGGTTTTCCTGACGCTGTGATTGGCCAGATTGCTCAAAGGATCTCGAAGGGCATACAGAGGACTCGACACGATTACTAGATAAGACCAAATGTCCTCAATCCAAAAGAAGTGTTAGGCAGCAGTGAATTAAGCTTTTCATCAAACGACCGTCTCTACATGTGACGTTGCGTTGATGCTATAACGTCAAAGTGTCCTTTGGAGAAAGACCAGGTGTCAAATAAGTCCGGGACAGGGTAGCTCGATCCAAGTACATTACCACGAAACCGCCCTCGCATTTCAACACTCAAAGGACCACGGTTTCGACCGACAACCTATTCACCGCTTTTTCTCTGGGATAGATTCCCACTCGTTCTCTTCTCTTCTATCGAGGTTCTCTATTAGAACAAATAACCTCCCACACTTCTTCCCCGCGGCGAAGCACGCACATCCCACCACAACCTCTCCACGCCTGCCGTTAACGACACCTTTCACTTTCCGCACCACACAACACATCATGGCGCCACCCGGACGCCGGAGAGGCAACCTCTCACCGGGAGCCATGCTCCTCGGTCTCTTCCTCCTCTTCTCGACGACCGCCTCCGCCGCCTCAGCCGTCATCGGCGTCGACCTAGGCACCGAATACATCAAAGCCGCGCTCGTAAAGCCCGGTGTTCCCCTCGAAATTGTCCTGACCAAAGACTCGAAACGGAAAGAGACGTCAGCCGTCGCTTTCAAGCCTTCCAGGGGCGGTGCTCTGCCTGCGGGCTCCTTCCCCGAGCGCTTCTACGGCGGCGATGCGATTGCGCTCCAGGGACGCTTCCCGGGCGATGTATACCCGAATCTGAAACACCTTCTAGGTGTATCGAGTGAGAGCGATATCGTGGGCACGTACAAGGAGAGATACCCTGCGTTGGAGGTTACAGGGACGGACAAGCGCAACACGGTTAGCTTTGTGAGCAGCGTCTTCGCTGAGGACAAATCATACACGGTCGAGGAGCTACTGGCTATGGAATTGAAGAACGTCAGGGAGAACGCAAAGGCGATGGCGGGCAAGGGCTACGATATCCAGGATGTTGTCTTTACGGTTCCGGCATTCTACACGGTCGACGAGAGGCGCGCACTTGAGGTTGCTGCTCGTCTGGCTGGTCTCAAGGTGCTCAGCGTTGTATCCGATGGGCTGGCTGTTGGTCTCAACTACGCTACTGGCAGGACTTTCCCCGACGTTACCAAGGACGGCAAGCCGGAGATGAACCTCGTGTTTGACATGGGCGCCGGATCTCTGTCGGCTACTGTTCTCAAGTTCCAGGGCAGGTCTGTCAAGGATGTTGGCAGGCGCAACAAGACTATTCAGGAGGTTCAGGTCATGGGCGCTGGATGGGACAGGACGCTTGGAGGTGACGCGATGAACTCGCTCATCGTCGACGACATGGTGGCTACCTTTGTTGAGCTTCCAGCTGCCAAGAGCGCTTCTTACACCGCCGACAAGGTCAAGGGCCATGGACGCACCGCTGCGAAGCTCTTCAAGGAGGCTGAGAGGGTTCGCCAGATGCTCAGCGCTAACAAGGAGACTAACTCTTTCTTCGAAAGCTTCTACGAGGATGTCGATTTCAAGTACAAGCTCTCTCGCACCAAGTTTGAGGAGCTCACTGCCGACTACGCCAAACGTATCGATGGACCGATCAACCAGGCTCTCACAGCTGCTGGTCTTACATTCGCTGATATCGACTCTGTCATCGTCCACGGTGGCGCGAGCCGCACACCCTTTGTCCAGGCCCGTCTCGAAGCAGTCGCTGGCAAGAGCAAGATCAGGGCGAACGTCAACGCCGACGAGGCCGCCGTATTTGGCGCTGCTTTCAAGGCCGCTGGTCTCAGCCCGTCTTTCCGCGTGAAGGAGATCCGCGACTCGGACACCCAGGGCTACAATCACGGCTACCAGTACATGCTCAACCTTAAGGAGCGCGACCAGAAGATCTTCACTCCCAACACAAAGCTTGGCGCGACCAAGGACCTGCCTTTCAACTTCATGGGCGAGTTCGAGTTCACCATGTACCAGGCTGTTCCTGGCGCTAACGGCGAGGTGTCCAAGGAGCCTACTCTTCACTTCCAGAGCGGTAACTTGACCAAGGTTGTTACTCACATGATCAACGAGAACAAGTGTGAGCGCGACAGCTTCAACAACTACGTTCAGGTTAGGCTTAGCCCTGTCACTGGTACTCCTGAGGTCTTGTCTGCGTGGGTTACCTGCGAGACTGAGAGTGAGGAGGTCAAGGGCGGCATTGTCGATGGTGTCAAGAACCTGTTTGGTATGGGTGGTAAGAAGGATCAGGAGCCTTTGAAGGAGGGTGAGAGCTCTTCTTCTTCATCTGCCTCGTCCTCCAAGTCTTCCAAATCATCGTCGTCTTCTTCCTCCGCAGATGCTGAGAGCACTGATACTGCGAAGGCTGGAGAGAAGAAGATCAAGACTGTGAGGTCGGCGATTACGTATGATGTTGAGCAGCTGGGCTACAAGAAGTTCCCTCGCAAGGAGTTGAAGAGGATGCAGGACAGGTGAGTTTGTGAAGTTTGTTGTGTGCGTTCAAAGACTAACGTCGACAGGCTTGCCGCCTTCGATTCATCTGACAAGTCTCGCCGCACCCGCGAAGAGGTCTTGAACTCGCTTGAAGCCTTCACCTACCGCGCTCGCGACTACCTCGAGGACGAATCCTTCATCGGAGCTTCCACATCTGCCGTCCGCGAAACACTCGAAAAGACCCTCAGCGCCGCCTCAGATTGGATGTACTCCGGTGGTGCCGACGCCGATGAGAAGACTCTCAGGAGTAAGCTCAAGGAGCTCGAGAACATTGTCAACCCAGTGATGAAGCGCAAGGACGAAGCATCCAAGCGCCCCGATGCCATCAAAGAGCTCAAAGACACCATCGCCCACATCAAGGAAGTCGAGCAACTTGTCGATGGCCAGATCAAGACGCAATCCGCCGAGAGCTCCAAGAGCAGCGAAGCCGTCTCCAAGGCCTCCGCTGACGCCTCCGCCTCACCTTCCACTGACCCCATGGACGAGCTCGATGAAGAAGCTGACACACCCGCCGCGCCTGAGATCACCGAAGTCCCTACCATCTACACGGAATCCGACCTCAAGACCGTTCAAGAGCACGCACAGAAAGCACAAGTCTGGCTCGACGACAACGAAGCTAAGCAAGCTGAACTTGGTCCCACAGATGATCCCGTCTTCACGGTCAAGGACATCATGGCTGAGAAGAAGAAGCTAGACGACGTCGTCATGGACATGATGATGAAGAAGATGAAGCATTTCAAGCCGCCGAACCAATCTAGCTCGAAGACCAAGACCGCTAAGCCCAAGACGAAGAAGGCGAAGAAGACCAAGACGAAGAAATCTGCTAAGGCGGAGACGAAGGAGACTGATGTCCCCGCTGCAGATGGTGAGAGCGGTCCTAGCCAAGCGGAGTTGGAGGAGGCGTTGAAGAAGGCGGGCTTCAGCGCTGATGGCATTAAGCTGAGCAATATGGGGAGTAAGGCGGATGGAGAGGAGGGCGATGTGACGGATGAGAAGGGCAGGTTGCTGAAGAAATTGGATATTGGAGAGGGGGCGAGTGAGGAGGATATTAAGGCTGCTATTGATCGGTTGGTTGCGCAGGGGGGTAAGGGGAAGAGGGAGGAGGGGAGTGATGAGCTGTAGATGGGGTTATAGTAAGGGAAGGGAAGCATGTGCGAGTAGGATGGTGAAGTGGGGTAGACAGATGCATAGATCGATTGAGCGATTAGATTATCAATGCGAATGCGAATTTGATAGGTCAATGATGTGTATGAATTTGGTGTTTAGTTTGTACAAGCAAAATCGCATTCTAGGCTAACAAAAATCGTACACAATTGTCGCCTGCTGGTTGCGCAAGGAGTAAGAGCGGAGTTGTACTCTGTACTTACAATGATCCGTCCATGAATGGAGGTGTAGGTTGCATCTTCTGGTATTCGTGCTCGTCTAGCGCTGATTTAAGGTTGAGCACAATTACTTTGGGTGTCAGGCTCTCGCGGTAACGTGAAGGTCGGATACCTGCTAGTAGTAGGCAGCCCTTACAAGTCTACAACAACGCTCTTAAATTAAAACCTAAGAAGATAGAAATACTCGCAGTAATATATTGTGTTTATCTTATTATTTATTTGCGACGTTGTAGAGTAGATTAAGAGGATAACGTCTTGTTGTTCCTGCTCTTATTTCTGACTTTCACGTTACCGCGAGAGTCAGGCTCATGGCTTCCATACCCTGAGTGCGTAGGGGAGGTAGAGGGGAAGGGCAATATCTAGGGAGGGGAATTAGGAACAGGCTCTTGTAGAAGGGTGGTGAGGGGAGAAGTGACGAGACTAGATCGAGCTAGATCGAGCAGATTGGGATGAATGCGAACCTTTGAATGTAAAACGCTAATTACGTATGCTATATTCTACCCTCCTTTTCCGTACTCCTATTTTCCTCGTATAACCATTGTAATATGTACTGTCATTGCAACGCCAGTATGAGCAAAGCATGCGCCTTTGTCGCCAGTCACTTTCTCTGCCCCTGGGCTTTTTTCTGCCCCTCAGCCATCGCTGCAATGAGAAACATGCCTCCCAGAACAGTTTTCCCCACATATTCCGCTGCAACTCTGGCCGTATCGGTATAAGTTCTCTGCGGCAATACTTTATTCACATCAACTTTCAATTTCTCGTCCTTCCATTTGGAAACGAGATCCCGACATTTTTCAGTAAGCTGTCCATGCTTGATGAGAATCTTGAGAACCTCAAGACGCTCCTTTGAAGCGTGCTCTCCTTGTTGCACCTTCCATACAGGCTCATTGGCGCAAAG